AAAATATTTTTTAATTATATAATATAAAATTATTAAATAAAATAGTGAACTCCTTAATATTAAAAATTAATCTCTAATAATTTTTATTTTTACAATTCAATACAATTAAACCTGAAAAATAAAAAAACTCTTTTTAAAAAAGTTATTTAACATCAGATTCTTCCATGTTAACAATTAACAATTAAACATGTCTCTTACTTATAAATAATTTTTTTTTCTAGACTCTATATGTAGAGAAAGCCTTCTGTTCACGTCATTAGTATACTCTTTTAACTTATATTAAATGGTTAATACCTAACAAGAAAAAAAGTAGGCCCGTTTAACTTGTATTCCACTTTCTTAAGTCTTCTGCACATTGCCCCTCCCTTCAAGTTCACCCCCAATTCCTCTTCCACTCCCTCCTCTCCAAATTAATTCACACTTTGACTTTACACCCTATTTAGAAGAAATTTTTTAATCGGCCAATTTCCAACCACAAAATTGACCTAAAATGTATTTAAGGATGATTTCTTTTTTATTTTTATTTTTTGGAATTTTAGGGCAATGAGGGTCCTGCACGTTCTGTGTAGGTAGATTTTCTTTAATTATTTCTTTCTAATTCATATGTACTATGTTTTTTTGTTTTTTTGCCGAACACAAGTACCGTGGTTTTTTTTTTATCTTGAATAAGTACAATTTTTAGAGGAAAAGAAAGGATTTAAATTCAGTTTATGAGGTTAAAATATGCATTTTTAATTAAACGGTTTATAAGGTTAAGTGTGAACATATGTATTGTATTTTTTTAATAAATTATAATTATTTATATGTGTTAATTAAAAAATAAAAAAAAATAAATTTTATAAGACTCAAACATATAATTTAATTTAAAGTCTATATCATTGGATCAAAACAAATCATTCGAATATATGTACTGTGTTTAAAAAGTTTGATCTGTATTATATACATTTATATTGCCATTTTAGATATTTATACATAAAAAAGCATGTAACATGCCGTTCTTTGTCCATACATGGCACGACATGTGCTCCATCATTTTCATTGTGCAATTTGTTTTACGTAAATAGTCTAATCACATTTAAAAAAAAA